TTGTGGTACTATGCATGTCAAGGCATGAGAGCATGTTATAGCATCCACAGATGTTTCAACTAACCTGATGTTGCATTCTAACCCAGAGTTTGTTCATTTCCGTGAAATTTTGGAGTACAAACTCTACAGCATCCACAACAGTATCTGCATCTCTGTGGAAGGGAACAAGATATTAGTGTATAAAACGATGATGTTCACATTACAGGTGATGCTAAACATGAAAGAAGCTTCAATGAAGGTAAGTTAGTCTCTTTTTCTTTTTTTCTTTTTTCTTTCCTCAGTGTCAAGATCAAACTACATTTACGAAGTTGAGGAAACCCTCAACTAATCAATTGGCAGTAAGACAACCATAAAACAGATTACATGAACAACATAATCTGCTACTCCAGCATTCTATTCAAATATTCAAAATAAAACATAGATACACTGCTGGTCTGCTAATCAGTTTGAGTCATGTCAGTGGTTTAAGCATTCAGGATGACACTTCATCGTAGTATTTTTCTCTATTAAGCACTTATATTTAGAAGCTAGAACATTGCTAAGGAAACCCAACAAACTTGGAAACTGACACATAATTCTTGTAACTAAATGATGGTTTCACACCATGGAGCTGAGTAACACCCTTACCCTTCATACTCGGAACCTATATCAGGCAATTTATCCTTGCTAACTTGGGAAAGGTAACTCCTCAGAAAGAGTCCACGTAAAGGATGTTGTATACCACGGCACATTTCAACCAGGTCTTTAAGGATATCCTTGGCGGGAGCCTCCTTGGATTTGATGTACACAGACCCCACTGTGCAAAGTAGATACCTGGGGAACAAGAGCAGGGGTATGAACTTTAGAAAGTAGAATACGATTGTGAAGTGTATAGAAAATAATAGAGAACGAAACTAAAGACAAGCTTGAAAGCAGCAAGATAATAAATAGAGCATCTCTTTAACATAGGTTAAACAATAAAAGAACAAAGAACCAACGAAATGAAGCACATTACTAACTTTCCACCATCCGCATTTTTATCTTGATCTTTGAATAAAAGTAGCAACTAATATAGCAGTGGAAATCTTAGTAACAATATTTTATCTCTCAGCATCCCTGAGTACCTACATGTCTTTAGCTATCCTACTAACTTCCTGAACTCCTCTCCAACTACCCATCCTAAATTAGTCTGAGCATAATCTGCACTCCTGTTTGCCACAGCATCACCAGTTCTCTAGATATATATTAATAACTACTTAAAATAGCAGTGCTTTCCAAATAATTCCAGAAAATATTGGAAATTTTCCAGTTTGAATAAACTATATTGCAAGTTCTAGCATTGATCTCCATTAACCAAACTGCTAAAGCAGCAAAACTTGCATTGTGTGAGTCATAAAGGAAGTCCTATGTTGGTCGGACTATTCAAAAATGTCAATGGGTACGTGTCGGATTTGCCAAAAGTAGTGTATTTTTGGAGAATCCGACACGGTTGCAGCATCAAAAGTGAAAAGTCCGCGCAACTAAGAAAGGAACATCCAACCAAGGCTAAAGGAAGGCTGAATCTGAGAACAGATGTCTGCAAGTAGCAGTGTCATTAAAAGCCAAAAGCACAAAAAACACTCTAGTCTTTTCGGGTGTCAACCGCAAATAAAGTGTTGGCTTTAATGAAAAAGGCGCAAATGGAGAGAAAGTGAAATATGTATGTGTAGTCCAAGATTAGTAATCATAAGCATGAATAACAAACATATGGATGAAGCAATTAAAAAAAATTATGATAAAGTGTAATATGAATGGTTTAGTGTCACATCTTCAAGATTGCACTCAGTGGCCCTTAAAACCTTAATGATGACACTAAAGCAACCATAAAGCGAAGCGAAGAGCTCAACATGTTTTGCACCTTGCATCAGGGCTCAGGTGTGCCTTTGACATCATCGGTAAGTAATTAAGCGAAGAACAGTAAGATTAGCATGAAAAAAGTAACTTGAAAGCAATGCCAAATGCAACTGGTCCTAATACTTCACTGCATGTAAAGGAAAAGTCATCTCTGTTACACTGGTTGTTCTTTCTACTTATATTTGTGGATTCTCCATCAAAGATAAGTATAAGCCAAATAATTTCTCACTAAATCCATTTTCTGATTTTCTCTAATTTTTTGTCTGTGCTTTCTCAAGTGTAGATTTTCTAATTTTCTCACCCAGGAAGTACAATGTTTTCTCTTTCTGGCTTTCAGCCATGATTGATAGTTCTCTATATTTGATTTGAGTCTTTAATCTCATTACATTACTAAAAAAGATTGTCCCTAATAATTGAAGTCCAAAGTACTACTCTCTGGAAACATACAAAATCGATACAGACTGCAAATCTTTAAGCCAATCCGCATACATGAAATTACTCGCTCAAGGACATTACGGTAAAGCTTGCAGAAAATGGAGTTAAAGAGGAAGATACAGTTGGATCATCACAACAACTTACAGTCTAGGCAAAATGTTGCCAGCGTGCTGCACGAGTTCATACAACTCAACAATTGAGCAACCCCGCTTTGTCTCCTCCTTGAAGAACATTTCTAGCTTTCTCAATTCATCAAAAGCCCGCATATCTAATAAAACAATGAGCATTTAAACATTTAAAAGATTTCAAAAATTAGAAACAGTCGAATAAAACAACTACAACACTGTCCTATCAAATGCTTTTAAATTGTTGAAATTCTTTTTTCAGCATATCAACAATACAAAAACAACAACTACAACAAGCGGGGTCTAGGGAGGGTAGTGTGCACGTAAACCTTACCATACCTCGAGGAGGTAGAGAGGCTGTTTCAGGAAGACCCTCGGCTCAAGAAACGAACATCAAAGCAACTAACAAAGCAACTAACAGAACAACTAACAGAACAATACAGTAGTAAAGAAGACACGGAATAATAAGGAACCACAACATAACGTACCAAGATCAAATGCAATAACCGAAGCTACTAAAAGGTTGTAAGATAGGCCAAATACGCGACAAATGCTACTACTACTGGTAAAAAAAAACAGATACAATGCAACAATCTATTCTTTTAGGAAATGAGACAACACTCCCCTACCTAACTAAAATTTTAAATTTAAAAAAGCAAAGGAACAGCAAAACAGTTCTCATACTGAGGTTAAGGAACTTAAAGAATTGAAATTAAGTAAAAATTTATTAAGTGGGCAATAATTAAGATCAGATCAAATGAAAAAGTACACACATAGCTCGTAGTATTTGTGAGGTGATAGCCTTGAAGTTCGGAGCTCCGACAGCATCTGAGCTGAATATTTGAGTGCATCTTTCAGATTATTTGAGTCCTACACAATTCATACAGAAACTCAAAATTTAGGTGCCTGGAAACCTAAAAATACATATAAATATTGAAAAAAAAATTGGGGGTTTTGTGAAAATACAAGAGCGCGATGCATGTGAAAGGCGTTCTGTTGAATGCCGGCGACTCCAGAAGCTAGAAATTTATCTTCATCTTCAACTCCGTTAGGGGTCATAGTGTTCTCCGATCGATTTCTCGGTGAATTCGCAAAGTCGACGAGCTTTTCTGGGCTCTGTTTGGTATTTTGACTTCAGTTTTGTGACATTACTTCCTTGCAACTGCCAGTAAGAAGCATGGGTCGGGTCGGGTAGGGTCGGGTCATTTGACACCCAAATTTGTCCTTGGTTTATTTGTTTAAAATTCTCATTACATATTCTTATTGTAAGATGCTTAAATTTAATTATAGATTTAAATATTAGTTTCAGTATTAAAGTTAAGACCTAAAAATAGGTGTATTAAAATATTATATTAATAAAAAAAAAAAGTTTGAAAAAATATTTGTCGATCGATAATGATGATTAAACAAATATGATGGAGGCTGATAAATGTAGTAGATGATAGTGACAATTACACACTCATGTTTATATACAATCAATAAACTCATAATAGATAAATATTTGATTACAAAAACTCATTGATAACATTGGAAACAACTAATTTACTTTCACAAAAATAAAAATAAAATTGCATACGCACCACTCTCGACTTATTTTACTTATGGGATACATTGGTTATGCTGTTATAACTCGTTATAACATTGATAGAGTTCTCTACAAATGTGGAATACCCTGAGTTAATACATCAGATGGTCACTCAACTATGCACTCTTCTCTCAGAAAGTCACTCAACTTTCAATTTTTACTTAAAAGTCACTCAACTATTGCTTTCTTTCTCAGAAAGTCACTCAACTTTGAATTTTAACTCAAAAGTCACTCAACTATCCACTCTTTTCTCAAAAAGTCACGAGGTTTTGACCAAACTAAGCCATTATATAAAGTCATTCACCAAAATAATATGTTTTTCTAAAATTTTACAAAACTAGTATAAACATATTCCACAGTAACGTTTTAGGATATATATTTTTTTTAAAAGTTGATAGCGTCAGATTGATATACGTTACTCACAGTAACATTTTACTCCTAAAACGTTACTCATAGTAACGTTTTAGGAGTAAAACGTTACTGAAAATAATGTTTTAGGAGTAAAACATTACTTACAGTAACGTATATCAACCTAATGCTGTTAGTTTTTAAAAAATAAAATATATCCTAAAACGTTACCGTGAAATACGTTTATACTAATTTTGTAAAATTTTAGAAAAATATATTATTTTGGTAAATTGTTTTATATAATGGCTTAGTTTGGTTAAAATTTCAAAAGTCACTCAATCTGTTAAATTATTTTTTAATTAAAAAAATTGTTGATATTAATTATTTATATAACAAACCATAATTTAACAGATTGAGTCACTCTTTGAGAAAAGAGTAAATTTTGAATTAAAATTCAAAGTTAAATGACTTTCGAAGAAAAAAGTGAATAGTTGACTGAGTTTTAAGTGAAAATTGAAAGTTGAGTGACTTTTTAAGAAAAGAGTACATAGCTAAATAACCATCTGAGGTACTGACTCCGAATACCCTCTATTCAATACTCTTTTCAGTTTCAGATATAAAGGCAGAGACTTCGATTTTTTCTTGTAAATTTCATTTACTGCAGTAACAAACACTTAAAACAAGCAAGAAGCAACACCCAAACCCCAATAAATAGAACTTATAGAGAACTATACACAAGCCAAGTCTCTCCATATATTATTCGCAAAAACATTCAAATCTATCTAAACCTAGTAATCTTTAACCACCTTCAACGAGCGCCCTGGGGTAATATTACAAAAACTGCATCCTGTCCATATGCTACCAAAGACGAAAACGAGATAGTTTTCTACTATACATATATCAGAACACTGGAAATCAACGGAGTTTATTCTGAGCAACAGCCTGGCATAATTCATCCTCATAGAATAGAACTCTATTAGAACCCAACGACTTGCATAGGGACGTTGGTATAACAGATGGAACCATGTATCTTTTAGGGATAGTAGACTCTTGAAAAAGAACAGCTGCAATGTGCCTCATCTCTGGGAACTTGAGACGGGGTGAAGGACGTGGACCATGTTTTGGAGCCTTAGGAGTGTGAGGAGTGTTGATCCATGCACCTTTTCCGTTTTCTTTGCTGCAAGTGACAGGCATATGAGAAAATTCAACAGATATGTCTATAGCCATCAAGATGGGTTATAGAGATGAGAGATGAAACATTACCTTACAAATGGCCAGTGATCAGTGGGGGTAGGAGTCATGGTTCTTAACATCTCCTGCCGCGTTCTATCCGGAGTAGTATAATTGAAATGGAAAAGCCTTGCCTGAATTACCTATTGAATTTGATCCATTGATTAGGGTCCAACACATAACCCATTTCTTAAAAAGAGATGAACACAGAGACAGATAAGAGACTCACTGCCTTCCTGATCTTCTGAGAGACATGGAAAACTGCTTTAAGTTGGTCATGGTGTAAATGGCACAGTAGTTTGACCTCAATCAGAAAGTAAAAAATCTATTAGCTTTTCAGCTCAGATAATTAAAAGGAGCAAACACAAATACATAAAAGATTAGTTTCCTAAATCACACCACCAAGCATAACACTCACAGGGCAACAGTAAGACCCATGCCCTGCAGATCTTCTATTCATTTTCTCAGTGAATGCAGAGAACATAAAGAAAAGCAGACATATCAGCAAATATTTCATGTTTCACAACGCTGGTTGGTCTTTGAAACATATATACCATACCATTCAAAGATAAGCTATTTTCAGCTGATAAACCAGTCTTTCTAACTGTTTTCTATTCTAATAATTACTTTCTTTTTTCATAAGCACTGCATACTATTGGTTTTTCTAAATTTGAGTAACTTACAAAATCTGACCTTAAAGTAAGCAGGTCTTCTACATGATGCTGACCAGGGAGAACAGGAGGGGTAAACAGGTGAAAAAAAAAGTGAGGATAGATACTAAAATACAAGCATGATAAGGATTCCTGCTGTTATGAAAGGATGACAATCATCAACAAATAAGGAGTATTAAAACAGATCCAACTGATATGATGTTCTGGATGAGACAAATTTATGTGGCTTCAATTCACAAAGGCTTTCCAAGGAAATTTTTTTTAAAAAAAAACAATACTACAAATGCTATATATAATATTTTCCATATATCAAAACTTCAGATGAAATTGACATAAGAACAATACCAGATTGTTAACCACCATGGTTCTCATATTTTTTTTCCAAGTGTTGACACAAGATCCAACATCCACAGTTCAAAACATACAGTGTGCAAAATGATATTAATCGGGACATTTGATGCATCAGTATAGCATATGATCAACAATAAAATGAAAGCAAAAGGAATGGAACTCTCTATACCAGTAAATCCATTGGAAGAGACTCGAGCCTCGACTCTGATGTGCACTCAAATGCACCAGGTGTCTTTGGTGTCATTTGCAATTTATTCTGCTTAGATATATCAATGGGCGTATTCACAGAACCATAACAAAACTTCACGGGTGATAAAAATATGGGACTTCCCTCAACAACACTATTTTTAAGTGCTGCTTGATTGTTTGTTTCATCTGAAGTTATTACAGCCACCCTTTTCTTCCCAAGATCCGTACAAGATTTAGCAGCTGATGCCTTAGTGTAACGGAGCTGAGCCAAAGCACCTGGTTTCAAATATTTTCCCTTTGTACTCTTTGTCCGCCTTTTCTGTTTTGGAGTCTTGGATTGACCATCTTTGGGTGACACTTTACCCATATTATTCTGATTTACTTTTTTGTTTCCAATCAGTTTAACCAAATCATCACCTAATTTCTTGAAGTTTCTACTTTAATAAATTTTGCTTATTTATCAAATCAAGACCGAATTAACTCTGACTACTCCTCAACATTGACCTGAAAAGTTAAAAAGTTCCAAGTCATACCCATCAAAAACAGGAAAGATTCCAACTTTTAATAAACAAATTAACAACACAAAACATTAACTTCAGAAACCACAAAAAATGGATGACATAACTAACATCTTCAGAGTTACGTAACAGGATCTGGATGAAATAGAAAATCCAATCCAAAAACAGGATCAAGATAAAATAAATTCACAGCTAAACACAATAGAGCATACAATTACTTTAGCATATAGCAATTGCAAACAGGCCACCAACGTAAACAAACAACTCCAAAAAATCATCCGCACTAATACATTCAAATCTGGAACTAGTTAGAAAATATTCTAATTGCTACAACTACCCAAAAATGAACCCGCATCCACGTTAGATCCTCCAAAAATACACTACTTTTAAACAATGACTAATATATATAGCTACAAGCAAAACCAAAAAAAAAACTAGATCCTAAACTAGTTAAGATCAACCATATAAATCGTCCACCTTTCAACAAAATAGCAACAATCTAAACCAAAACCTCCATGAAAAAAAATGTTGAAACACAAACTAGACAAAAACAGTTATATACAGAAACAACAAAAATTCCTCTTCAGTACTAAATTAGTTAAGATCAATTCCACAACACTACAACAACATATCCACAGTATAATCACACAAAATGGGGTCCAGAGAAGCTAAAATGTACGCAAAACTTACCTTACACCGCTAAGAAACTGTTTTCAATTAATCCTCCGCTCAAGGAACTATTTTACACGATACATAAATGCAAAAAAAGCAAATCAGAACCTCCATGAACCCAAAAAAATTCACAAAAATTGGAAAAAAAAGATAAGAACGTCATCAAAAAACAAAATTAAACAACAAAGATATAGAGAAGGAAAATGGCGAACCTGAAATGAAGCAAAAAATCGAACCGATAAGCAGAGAGAAGCGAAAACCCTAGCAAAAATGGAGAGAGGGAAGAGGAGGGAAGCGAAATGAGGGAGATTCTAATATCTAGGGTTTTGGTTAAAAATAAAATAAAATATTTGAATTTGTTGTAAATGCCCGCCAAATTTTTTAATAACTGTTACCATATAATATAATAATAATTAGTACTTTTAGTCCTTGGAATATTAATGAATTCCAAATAAAACGAAAATTATTTGCAATATATATGGTTAAATAAATTAATAATAACGTATTCACATATAATTTTACATCGCAGAGTAACAAATTTTGATGTTGAGTCGCAAGAAAAGAATATAATTGACATGATAAAATAACAAGTAGTACATAGTGAATCTCCTCCTTCTCTAACGTGACGTGTGACATCATTCGGTTATCGACAGACCTTCGATTATAACTCAAACTCTATATCTTCATATATAGGATGATATCCTTACTAAACTAAAACTATATCATGTCCTCGTGTGTTAATCACCACACATTAGATTCCCTTCATCCCATTTTATCTCTCGTAGGAGTTCATATCTTTTGTATTACGCGCATCCATATGTTTTTTTTTACATGGCCAAATCTTGTCATTCTTGTTGTTTATCTTGTCTTGTCCATCGCAAAGGTCTCTCCCGCTCTACTCCAAATAATTTATTTTTCTTAATTATATCCATCAAGATATGCTTATACATTTATAGAATCGTCCTTATAACTACTACATTGATCGTTTGAGCGTCTATGTTTTAAACTGGTCATAACTGTGTCTCATACAATAATATCGGCGTATACACTAATTTGTAGAACTTAACTTTAAAGTCAATGATATATTCATATCAGACAATACTCATATACGAGTCTCAATTCAACTCACCCTATATCAATAAAATGTATGACATTATCATCAAATGGGCCTAATAAACCTAAAACTCTCTCTCAAAATTTATGATCAAACACCTACTAACTTCGGTACTACTTATATAAAGGAATAAAACCTCATATTTTAGTTAATTGAGAAGTAAAATGTAATAATTCATATATCATAAGGATCATGATCATAATTCATTCATAATTGAGGGACCAAAGTAAATACTTTTATTCTAAAATATTTAAAAAATAATAATAAAAATTGGGCCCACATTGTGGACTCTTGGGAAGTGGGGTACGATAAATATATTATAGCTGACGTGGCAAGTTTTAATTGGTTGTGCTGACAGTACTTTAAGGGCTCAAGTAGGAATCCGAGGTCGGTATCTGACGTGGGTGGCGTAGATGGCGGCAAAATTGGATTCTAATTAAAATTTTAGTATTTATTATTTTTCTGATTTTTTTTAAAAAAATAAAAAATATTATCTGTCTTTTTCAAAATATATTTTTTAAAAAAAAAAGAACTTGGGAGGGAAAATTTGATTTGACAATTATCTGTATTTTTAAAATTATTAACGGAGGAAAATATAAGAAAATATATATATATTTATATTATGTTTTGATATGAAATTATAATATGATATTACGATTAAAGGTGAAAGAATTATATATTTATTTGATTGTAAAATTTAAATTTTTTGATATGCCAGATGTAAACAAGAATATCTTGTCTTTTACGTGGAATTGTTGATTCATCATTTTATATAATTAGTGGAATAAAATATTTTTGATGATATTTATAATTAAATGTGGGATAAACAATCTCATACTTAATTTTAGAATAATTATATTAATGTGATTATCCCGTCAAACAAGTTATATTATTTTAGTATATAAAATTTCATTGATCATACGTAGTATTTTTAAATGAGATATATCGATAAGAAAATATTTTCACATTCGTTAATCACCATTAACAAAATATGTTGATAAGATTTTATTTTATTTTTTAAAAAAAATATGTGAGATATTTTTTTGAAAAGTTGGAAAAATAAAAAAAAATAATTTGTTAGCTTTAAACGATTTAAAAATATTTTAATTAGATTCTATTTAAATATGAAAGAATCCTATGTAAAAAAAGGGGATATTAAAAGGACAAAGACTAGTCTTGTACAACTTCTTTTTCCTTGGATTCTCTTATTATTATTTATTATTTTTATTCGATATGTTTCAAATTTGTTTAAAGTTTGATTAATTTAAATTTAAGATTAACAATTCTTTTTTGAAATCAAAGCATTTTTATAAAAAAAAGAATCGACTTTATATTTAAAACTCGAACCCTACTTTGAATTCGATCTATAATCTGGAAAAAAAATAAGATGATAAATTTAAGACATTTTTTAATTCCTAAGAACTTCTATAAGTTTTAGATTTTGTTTATAAGTCCGATAAAATAGTTTTGTTATAATTAAAAATTCATAGTTTAAAATTTTTAAATTTTGAATTCTTGTTATAATATTTTATGAAAACATGAAAAAATTATTTCAATCACACAAAAGATGATAGTCCAACGCTCCATCACACTTATTGTTCTTGATACATTATTTTAGGAGTACATGAAATAAATTTAATTTCTCAAATATAATTTATGATCCTTTTAAATTGAGAAATTTGTCGTATGTACTTCAAAATTCAAGCCCAAGCCGTTCACTTTTTATGTTTAAAATTGAATCGAAAAATTATTTTTGATATATTGATGATGAATTGTGATTTTGTGGTATTTATTTTTTTATTATTAATCTTTAACGGTTTGAGTTTTTTTTTTATATGTATAATTGGATTAAACTAAGTAAATAAAATAATTGTATTTATACAATTTGGTATATCAATTTCTTCGTTATTTAGTTTCATACTTTTATTTCTTGGTTGTGTTAAACTATCGGTTATTCTACAATATAACAATGTTTGCTTTTGAGCAAGATACAATTTGTCAAACTCATTCATTTGGTTTATTACCTTATTTCTAAGTTATTTTCATTTTTTTTAAATGTAAAATCTTAATGGTTAAATAGATGACAATTAATAACCGATAAGACAATGAAATAATTGTATTTATACAATTCGGTATATAAATTTCTTCATTTAGAGTTTCATACTTTTATTTCTTGGTTGTCTTAAACTCTCGGTTATTCTACAATATAACAATGTTTGCTTTTGAGCAAGATACAATTTGTCAAACTCATTCATTTGGTCTCTTACCTTATTTCTAAGTTATTTCCATTTTTTCTAATGTAAAATCTTAATGGTTAAATCGATGACAATTAACAACCGATAAGACAATATCTTAATGTATCTATAATATTTTGCATGTCTATAAATCGATAAATAATTATAAGTTGAATCAATAATCTTCAAAATCGATTCGAACGGACTAATATGCAACCCTATTTAAGAATCTATCGTAAAGAGTTAAAAGGATAAAATCAGTGTGTGTGTGTATATATATATATATATATATATATATATATATATATATTTAAATGTTATTTATAAAATTATATTAAATATAATGTTATTGAAACTAAAAAATAAAAAAAAAAGTATTACTAAGATTCAAAACAGGCTTACTTGCTAGTCAAACTGTGGTTAAGATTGTGAGCATTTAAATCCATACAATTATTTAGACTACATTAAAATTGAGATAATAGTCCAAATAAATATTGTGGCTAATATAATTGAAAATAATTATTTAAATCTAGATATATTAAGCTAGATTATTTAATTGAGCTATTAATGATGATCCATTTTATTTAGCATGGGTAGTTGTTAATTATTGATTTGTTTTTCTTATTTATCAAAATAATGTAAATATATCAATTTTTTTCATTTCACATTTTTATTTTGTTCTTCAATGTTTGCATCACTAGGTGAAAATATGTATCAACTCCTTGGATTGTATTTATGTATTAGAAAAACTTATACACCTATCATCAAAGTGTATCTTCTTCAATTTATACAAATTGTATTTATATATATCATAGAAAAAAAATTGTAAGATCAATAAAAAATGATACAACTATTATCAAACTGTAATTGTGTATCAAAAAAATGATACAACTATTATTATAAAAAAATTGTATATGTATATTTATATCAGGGTGATACAATATTCAAACATTGTGTCATTATTGTGTATATTGATACGTACAATATCTATCTACGGTTTGGGACAGAGAGGAGAACGACAAACGAGATTTGAAAGAAAGATAGATCGAGAAAAGAGAAGATTTTGTATTTTAGTTTCAATTGAGATATAAGTTGTATCTCAAATACACTCTAGTCGCTTCTCTCTTCTCTCTCGATCTCACTTATCTATCTACTTTATCTTTCTCGATCTCTATCGTCTGTTGTATCTCAAATACACTCTAGTCGCTTCTCTCTTCTCTCTCGATCTCACTTATCTATCTACTCTATTTTTCTCGATCTCTATCGTCTCTCTCATACCTCAATCCAAATTATAACTATTTATTAAAAAATTAAAGACCAACCCAACAAAATATGAATATTTGTGTGAGTGGCCCAAATATAAATGGTGGCACATGAAAGAAATATTGGGGTAAATCAGTCCAAGAAGAATGTTTGGTAACATAACAATTTAAAAGCCCAAATTATTTTTTTTCGAGGGGGTTTAGATTGACTTAAAAATTGGTTAAACCTACTTTTAAGTCAGTTTTGACTTCAAAAAGTATTTGATAAATATAAAACAACTTAAAATAAGTTTTAAAAAAAAGATTTAAAATAAGTTAAGAAATGTTTGGCAGAGTTAAAAATAACTCAAGATAAGTTTCCACCTACTTTTTATTTTTTGACTTAAAAGTCATTTAATTTTGACCTTTTTATTTTCTATTTAAAACCTATTTTTTAGTCAATCCAAACACATTCTTTCACTTCTCTCTATAATTGCCTAATACTGACATGGACATCAAATGAAAATGGCCTCAATTTTTAGTAATGCGATATAAGTGTCAAATGAGCGGATTTTCTCTCTATATATATATTTTAGAAATATTTAGATAATTTTTTTCACGAATCAATCTGATTGCATATTAACTCAATTATAAAATAACTTGAATTAACAAATAAACAAACTAAACAATTTCCATTCATTATCACCCTATTCTGACCAAATTGTTCGATAGATAGGAGTTT